CATATGTAGTTTAGGACCCCATGGTTCATGCAAGACATTAGCAGTTTTTTGGTTAGGTAAAGGAGCTGTTGGTTACCACGAAACAGGCTTAATTTCATCAGGGAAAGGTCTTCACAATTTTTGTTCTCACTATCACAACTTTTGCTACCTTACTTTAACTTATACAAATGAACAAGGATGGATTCTTTTAAACAATGGTGAAACCTTCTCTTCTTCAAATGGCGTTGTTAAGTGGCAATGGTTTCAGGACAATATGATGCAAGCAGTTTTTGTCACACCACTGCTTTCAATGATGTTAGTCAAGGTGTACTGTCCAGCTACCTACATGTCTCTATAAAAAGCTGATCTCCAAAGGACAAAAATGATTACTTATGCATATTGCCTTTGCTTTAAATCCATCATATAAACTGGGCTTGGGGGAGTAGGTCAGTTTGTGATAGAGCACTTGCCTAGTATGCTTGAGACATTGGGTTCAGCTAGAAAAAAATGTTGAGCTAACTTTTTCTTTTGTATATTTGTTTATTTATTTATTTATTTTTGGGTGGAGTGGGTCTTGTGCCATAGTGTGGATCTAGAGATCAAAAGACAATTTGTAGGAATTGATTCTTTTCTTCCACCATGCGGGTCCTGGGGATTGAACCTGAGACATCAGACTTGGTAGCAAGTGCCTTTACCTGCTAAGTCATCTCATTATCCCTGAAGTAGTTTATACATTTGCACTTAGAGTAATGTTAAGAAAAGTAGTCATGATCAATTTATTGAGAATTCTCAAATGTGAGAATGATATAAAACTTGTATATATGCAAATGACAAATAAACTATGGATTACTCACTTTATAGATTTGAAGTTGTTCTTTCATGAATATGCAGTATTATTTTCTGAGGAGACAAGGAGATGGTGTCTCCTACCTCTGTCTTTTCCTCCCTCCCCTTTGTGTGTGTGTGTGTGTGTGTGTGTAGCTGAGGTCATGGAAATACAACAATTAGGCCCATTCAGTTGAGTTTCCATAAATGTCTTGTTCCAGAAGCAAGTATAGTCCCTGGGAAAAGCAAAGCTTACTAACCTCTCATGCTTATAAAATGCCTCTTAGGCAGCTTTTATTAAGGGACCACACTGGGTTAGACAGCTTATCATCTTGGGACACAGGACTGGAGCTGTGGAGGCATTGGTTGATTGGGGCCGGGCTGGGGCTTCTGGGACTCTGCCTGCTCTGGGGTCCCATGGCTGAGAGACGTACCCTGCTGCGCGCTCCAGGCTTAATGTTTTACAGCCTTTATTGCTCATGTCTCCTACCAGGCATAAGCTCTCAGGAACATTTGCCAGCCACAGGTCCTGATCCTACCCTAGCACCACGTCCATCTTCATGTTGATAAATAGATGTCTTGGGCTACTGCATCTATTGAGGGTACTTTGTTGCAGAAACAAAAAGAAACTGGTGGTGGACACTAAGACTTTCACTCCATGCACTGTAGCCAACTTGAATGGTAGAGCTCCCCAGAGCCACTTGCACAAGGCAGGGTTGGTGACAGTGCTCCCCAGAGCTACCTGCACAAGGCAGGGCAGAATGGCAATGCTCCCCAGAGCCACCTGCACAAGGCAGGGTTAGATGGCAGTGCTCCCCGAGCCACCTGCACAAGGCAGGGCTGGATGATAATGCTCCCCAGAGCCACCTGCACAAGGCAGGGTTGGATGACAGTGCTCCCCAGAGCCACCTGCACAAGGCAGGGCTTTGGTGTGACTTTTACTGAGTTCAGGCCCCACACCACCACTTCCTGTCTCTGTCTTCCCAGATGGATCCCTTTGCTCCTCAGAACCTCAGTTTCCTCAAGTACTAAGATACTTCTGTGAGTCTTGATTTTTTTCATGGTCATCACAGCTTACCCATGTGGTCATGATGCTGGGGAGACAATCCAAAACCCACAGGCCTGTACCCTGCAGGGAAGGGAACTAACTCACAGTGCTGGAGTGGGCTCCTTGTTTCTGCTTTCTCTTGGCTCAGTCAGTTGGTCCTTGCCATCTTCCTTCTCCAGGTTACCCCACATCTACTGACCTTTTAGGGCTCATTCAAAGACCACCACTTTCACAAAAATCTTCTCCCGTCATCACTGAAAGATACTTTTTCCTACATCTTCTTCTAACTTCTCTGGTATTTACCATTTTCTTTCGAGTGCCTCAGTCATCCTGTTATTGTTCCCCCTTGCCTATAAGTCTCACAGGAACAAACTACCTGCTCTCCAATCTTGCTTCCTCAGAGTACCCAGGAGGATGCCTAGCAAAAGTAGGTGCCCCAAAATAATGCGCCAACTATGTGGAGGACAGTTCTGTGTATTTAAAAATCCCTGTCTTGTTCTTTTCTAGAGATGAGATGGCATGTATAATGCATCTTTCCATTTGATCCATTTAAGGAGGACAAAAAGATTTGCCAAAAGCGGTTGACCTTACATCATGTCCAGAGAACACCTGTGAATAGTTATTAATAATGACTCATCACATGAGCTAACATAATAAAGCCTTACTGGAGGGCTAGTCACAGTGCTAAAATTGTTAAACTGCTGAAACAGAGCAGAGTATTTCCCAAAGGTGGTGAATCTATAGTTATTGCCCAAACACCTCCATCTTTATGACACTCCCTTAAACTGTACAGCATTGGGGAGCTGCAAATCACAGTTATGATTATTATTTTTAAGTGAGAGGTGAGAAGTCCTTGAGAATACGTCTATTGTCATCTCCGAGGGATCGAAGTTGACTTTGGGTCTCTTTGATGGAAGCCAAGAATTAGGTTTAAGCTGAATTTAGCAGGACTAAATTTGACCAATAGTGCTAAATAGTGTGGTTTGAGAGGATTGAACGTCTGTTACACAATATCCTTTCTATTGGTACCTTAGAGGGATTGCTATGTGTTTAGAAGACTTCACTCTTTCAAAGGTTTTCATTCCAGATGAAGGGTTAACCTCAGGTAGCATGCCCAGGGTGGTTCCTCAAGAAGATCCATGTAAGAAAGATTTCTCTGATCAAAGCAGCCTGAGAACCCTGCACACCTGAGCCCTCTGTGTGATTCACCATAGGCTGTCTCAGAGCACAGCCAAGGACCAAGAGTCACCCGGGAAGGAAATCTAAGTCAAAAGTCTCTTAGTGCTTTAAATATGGCTTACATGGCTCCCTCCCTCCTTTCCTTCCTTGTCGTTCAAATATACCTAGTAACATCACAGGACACTATCTCATGGAATTCCGCTTTAGTTATTATTTGCTTATCATAATGGGGATGGATGTTTAGCTGAGAATAAGGCAGTAGGAAATACACAAGGGGAGAGAAAGTCAGAGATAAAGAATGTTAGCGGTGATCTACGAGGCCACCGAAACACAAGTGGTCAAGCTTCCTCAGGACCATCCTTGGTCCTTAGTCCAGGCAACAGTTTGGCTTTTATTGTCTTCTTCCAAATCCCAGTCATCAGCAAGTAACATCATCAGACTGTGAGGACCACTACTGTGTCTCCATGTGATCTTACTCTGGGGTAGCAGGGAAAGAGGAAGGGGATTCTGCAGAGCAGCGTTTGCTCAGATGGTTAGACAACGAGGAAGGAGAGAAACAGAGGGAAGAGAAAGGGAGATTAAGGTGACAAGTGGGAGTTGGGGCTGGTGGGCCATGGGCAGGATGGAAAGAGACCCTGGAGCTTAGTGACAGCCTAGCAGAAGTTAACAAACCCCCTGTCCAAGCCAGGAGTCAAGTAACAGTCAGGCCAGGGGGTTCCTTGAATGTGCAGAGAGCTCTTTCTATTCCCCGGTGGAAGGGCACTTTTCCTTACAGGCAGCCTCTGTTCTTGGGCCTCCCACTGCTCAAGCACCTGCATTTCGCTGGCTGTTGGCAGGACTCTTCCTGAGATCTTCTTAGTGACCAGGTGACCTAACCACATTGCAGTGTTTAGCCAGAAACCCAGGAGAGCAATGGAGAAGGGCCTAGGTATGCACAGAAGCCAGAATTGAGAGGGGCTGAGGAGGGGCTTCCTCTTTATCCAGGACTGTCAGATGGTCCACTTCCTGCATGCAAAGCGACTAGGACACCTTTGGCAACTAAGGCAGCTAAGAAATACTGGAAGCTGAATGCAAGATATGCAACACGTTTGGGAATTTATTGTGTTGAAGGACATTCTAGGATACCTTCTGACTGCTCATTAGTATCAGAGAAAAAATCATGTAAAAATGATTTTTTAAATAAACATTATATACTCCTCCAGATGTGGAGACATGTGTGGGGTAGAACAGCAGCTAGGATGAGAAGACATCTCCCTTCACAAGATTCACGAATTTCAAATCGCTGTTCTATGATTCTGTTCCAGAATTCAATAATTCCGAAAAGTGATTCTCCCTGGGACAAGGTTATCCTCTGATATAAGGACTGGAATTCATTAGCAAGTGCATTTTAAAATAAATCTCTCCTTAGGAAATTGTTCAAGTGACTCACCGACCTCCCAGAGTGGGAGCGTCACATAAACTACTCCGATGCCTGGAGTACCTGGGATACTCTGGCCTATCAGGTTAAGGCTCTTGTCGGAGTTGGCAGGGTGACAGGGTCCCAGGACACAAGCCCACAGCCCTCTGTTTGAGAGATGCAGGGCGTCTCAGGAGAGGGCTGGGAGGACGTGTTTCTGTGTGTGCCTGTGAGTGCGTGGGTGTTGATTTGTGCTTACGTTGCCGACACCATTTCTCCGCGTGTGTTATATAATTGGGATGGTTTGATCGTCTGAATGGAATAACATAATTACCCATGGTATTGCACGTCTCTAATTCCAACTAAACACAATGGCAAAAACTAGACAAAAATGCAGAACTAAAACCGAAAACAAAAAAAACAAAACAAAAACAAAACAACAAATCACACAATGTTACTGAGGTCATGCAAAGAAGAAAATAACGAGGTTAAGAAATGGGCAAGCCACAGACACGGTAAATGAAAGACGGAAAAGAAAAAGCCAACGGCATACAATTCTGAAATCATTCTTACCTTCTTCAGTCATTGTGTCATAATATTTTAGTTTTCCATATGATCCAAGTTCTACAACATCACAGTAAAAGACACAAAGATAAGGCACGAGCTAGAATGCAAGAACTTTGTTTTTACACATTCTTAATTAATCCGATTCAGAGTTATACTGTCAAATGCGGCAATCGTAACTATATGGAGATGTGCAAACATGAGCCATGTGGCAGACAGCTTCACGGCCCACTTTCAGAATCACTGAAAATGTATTATTCAACCGAGGGTGGGCTGGGTCCTGCGGCACAGAACAGGACACGTTAGTTCAACACTCAACCGAACAGAGTGCTTGGCGAAGGTGCTTCAGCCCAGGCCTTGCCTCGCCTCGCTTTTATACAGATGACACCCCAGGGAGAATGGACAGCCTTCTAGACCCAGAGAACCTTGTAGACACTTGCCATCTTTAGTAGTCCCAAAGTCATGACGTGGCTTTTCCAGCCCCCAACAGAACCGTCTCCTGGGGAATAAGGAGGCTACCTGGAAAGAGGCGATACGAACAGCCCGATTTTAGCTCTCCTGTCACTGAGGAGCTCATACTTTAGATGAAACACCAAGGGTCATGTGTGCGGGAGGCTGGACGAGCTGTCAGTGGTACGGAAGGCACTCTGAGGATCAGTATCATCTTCCCTCGGAAGCCCATCCGGCTGAGACAGGTGAGGGCGACACAATTCAGAGGCCGGCTGTGGTGCAAAGAGCGCGGGCAGGGGACCAGTTTTTGGGCTTCTGAGTGTAGATGGCCCTGGGAACCTGTCTATACTGAGGTCACTGGGAGGCAGGGATGTTGGAGTCAGCTGGTGGCATGGCGACTGGATGAAGGGAGAGGGGACAGGCATGTATCATTTCTCTTTTTCTCCCTTTAGTTTCTAAGCAAAAGCTTTGATTTCTGTTTTTTTTTTTTCAAAATCCCAGATTATTTTGAACAATGTTGTGAGCAGATTAAAGATGCCTTTCTTGGTCATAACAACATTCTACTAATAAGTTTCAAGAAATTAATTAGACTCCAGAGACATTCCACTGAACGTGTCCATGGCCCATTGCCTTGGATAGAGGCTGAAAACCCACATGTGAATCAGCCTGTGATCGATGAGTCTGTGCGAGATGCAGGAGCCTGCTTAAAGCAGATGTCAAACATCCCTGAGTTGGGTATTTATACCGTACATTCTCTTTCTATATATTCCTTCCCACATGTCTAATTTTATCTAAAGCTATTTTGATACACCAGTGTAAAATTCTGCCCTCGGGGAGGAAAATCACCCCATCTTTATGTTCTCGTGGATCTTACCTATTCTGCCCATTGTTGGAATCATTACAAAAGAAGTGGGTACTTCAATGAGAAGTGAGTTTTAGGTAAATAACAATTTTTTTGGGTGATTTCTGGGGATTGCTATTAGTTCAATATTTTTTTTCTGTAATTTTAAGAACAGTTGGTGTGTATGTGTGTTTACAAAAGAGTAGAATTTTTTAAGTGATCTACATATTTCATCAATATTAATCACATGTTCATAGTGGCATTACAAAATGGGTGTGTGTTTGTGTGTGTGAGAGAGAGATCTTACAATAAATTGATAAACTCTATCAGCCAACTAATAGTTTTTTGTAGTCTCCCTTCCTTCTGCTGGGTAAAGGAAAGAAATAAACAGCTGGAATCCACTATGATCTGCTCAGGAAACAGGACGTGGGTGGCCCTGTGTTTGCAAAGCTGGCTGTCAACCATGTTCTGCACAGTGCTGTCACATCACTGCGTGTTAGTGGACCCATCTTTTCAGAGGCACACCTTTCTATAGGCACCCACCTGTTTTCATGTATTGATCCCAACCTTGAAACATCTGTTTATGGCAGAGGATACTGTTTTGAATTTCGTCTTGAGTGGAACCATGTACAATAAATAAATACAATCACATTGCTTCATTGTTACTCTGTGTTGACACAGAATAAGAACTGTTCACATATGACAAGCCTCATACATTCTTGCACCGTGGCAATATCTAGATTGTTTCTGAGATGCTTCCTTGGATGATGGATGGGACAGAGGGACAAGAACAGGGCACACTCCGTGGAAAAAACAAGGCGAACAACGGGGGAATGAGGACAGAGAAAAGCTGCATAGCAACATGGCGCATGGCTATTCAAGCAGCGGGAAGGAGGGCGCTGAAGGGGATAGCATCCACTCCAGCAGAGGGGGATCCTATTTGTGGGAAAGGATGGAGGATGACATCAGCCAGTTAGAACACAGTCTTCATCGTTGGCAGCCACGGGATGGTGAGATGGAGAACTCAGCAGTCACATCCCGAGGGAAGCAGGGCAGCATCTCCACGAGCCAGGCAGTCCTGTTCCCTAATCCTGGGGCCATGAGTGGTGCGGGATGAGGGATGCAACATGCAAGCAGGACAAACACAGTGTGCATGCCGAAGCCAGAGCTCCTCACACACCTGGCTACTGTCCCATAGCCCAGGGATGCCCCATGGAAAACAGCCACTGTTGGTTGACAGTCTGTGGCCAGGCCTAGCCTGGCTGTAAGGGCCCAGAAGGCATGATGAAAACTCACCTGTGCAAGAACTTGACCTCCAAATCACCCATCCCCACACCCCACTGACATCTCAAGCCACCTTCGACTTACATCTATCTATCTATCTATCTATCTATCTATCTATCTATCTATCTATCTATCATCCATGTATCATCTATCTATGTATCTATCTATGTATCTATCTATGTAT